TGTGCTCAACCATTGCTGCTGTTGGACTTTCGTTTTTCAGCTATGGTTTTCCTGTGCTTGGCAAATGCCTCGAGATTGGTGTAGTACAGATATTAGTAGTTATTGTTTTTTCTCTTGTAAGTGTGGAAATGGAACTTTAACTTTTATCAACGTTCTAATTTCTAGCTTCTTAATTCCTACTCTACGTGAGGCCTTTTCCATTGCACTGCTATAAAATGCTAAAAAACTTGTTTTCTCTGTATCTTCAGCATCTACGCAAGATATCTGTTCTTGGTCACCGTACATTTCTAATATTTGCAGTAAGTTCAATATTATTGCTCTAAATTAGATGCTCTTTAGTAGTTGACTTACCTTGTTTCACAAAATAATTCTTATAAGTTTGACATTTTTATGTCACCTCACTACCAGGTTCCTTTGGGTCTGGCAATCACATGGGCAATTGCTTTCTTGTTGACTGAAGCAGGAGCTTATAGCTACAAAGGCTGTGATATAAACATACCTGCCTCTAATATGGTATCAGACCACTGCAGAAACCATGTCCTGAGGACGCAGTATTGTCGAGTTGATATTTCTCACGCATTGAAATCTTCCCCATGGTTTAGATTTCCTTATCCACTACAATGGGGAACTCCAATCTTCCACTGGAAAGTGGCTGTTGTTATGTGTGTGGTATCCTTAGTCTCATCAGTTGATTCGGTGGGTTCGTTGTCTTTTCCTTTTATGTTTCCTGTGTTTTTATTTTATTCTACCTTGCTTGTGCTATTATTATAAATTATTCAAATTTAATCACTTTTGGTCCCTGAATTGAAGTGATGGACTCTTTGTTGCAGTTTTCTCCATATACTACTATTATTGAATCAATCTATATTGTTTTCATTCTCCTTTGCTTTGACTCTTCAGGTTGGTTCCTATCATGCATCTTCATTGTTGGTAGCATCCAAGCCTCCAACTCCTGGAGTTCTTAGTCGAGGAATTGGTTTGGAGGGACTTTCTAGTTTATTGGCTGGCCTCTGGGGAACTGGAACTGGATTTACCACACTAACAGAAAATGTTCACACAATTGCTGTGACTAAAATGGGAAGCCGCAGGGCAGTTGAATTGGGTGCTTGCTTTCTGATAGTGTTGTCTCTTGTGGGTAAGTGTTTATCTTGTTTCGGTTTTCGCAGTTACCTATTGTGATGTATGACTTTATTTAACATGCTTGCTCACTCTACGCATGTTATAATCTTATCCTTGGATTTGTCCTGTAAATTTTTTTTCCTCCACTGTAAGAATATTGAAATTTCTTCAACTGATCTATGGTACTCTATCCAATTATTTTGAGTAAGAGGTTCTTCTCTTGCGAAATTCAGCAAAACTTATGGTGTTTGCAATGATATTGAGAATGGGTGCCTCGTGAGGACGAGGGAAGCATTTATTTGAATGAAAAATTATTTGAATGACTTTTCCATTCAAATTCACGATTCTGAGCTCGATTAATATCATCGTTTGAACATATTGATGCTATGTAACAGGTAAGGTTGGGGGGTTGATTGCTTCAATTCCTGACGTGATAGTTGCTGCTCTTCTGTGCTTTATGTGCGCAATGCTCGCTGCTCTGGGCTTGTCAAATCTACGTTATAGTGAAGCTGGAAGCTCTCGCAATGTGATTATTATTGGGTTGTCGTTGTTTCTCTCTCTCTCCATACCTGCCTACTTTCAACAGTATGATATAGCTCCAAATTCCAACATGTCCGTGCCAAGTTATTTTCAACCCTATATTGTGGCTTCCCACGGGCCTTTTCATAGCAGATCCGGAGGGGTATGTCTTTGGTGTTATCCTGTAATGTCCTTTGTCTGCAGCGAATTCTTTTTGTTTCGTTCTGATGATGTTAGATAGGATATTGATCTTCCTTTTTTAAAAAAAAAAAAGGGGGGGGGGGAAAGAAAAGTTACCTTGTGATCAAACTTGGTAAAATCTCCATGATCTCGCAGAAGACAGCGGAGACTTAAGTTCTTATTTAATGGTGATATGGGAAGCTTCATTTCTAAAGGTGAATTTCCTTCTACAAGGTAAAACTAAAAGATATAAGTAAGGACGTGGTGAAACAGTGAACTCGTCAATGAATGTAAATGAATTAGCTTTGTTCTTATGATCTTCGTTTTATTTTAGCACTTGAACTGAATACTGGTTGATTAAAAGCGACCGTACTTTAGAGTTCATCAGAAACTGTGAGAAATGAGTTAATATGTTGTTTTGGCAGTTGAACTATGTGGGGAACACGCTTTTATCACAACACATGGTGGTAGCGTTTGTTGTGGCTGTTATTCTGGATAACACAGTACCTGGGAGCAGGCAAGAACGGGGGGTGTACGATTGGACTGAAGCCGAGGCTGCTAGAAGTGAGCCTTCTGTTGCTAAAGACTATGGATTGCCCTTCCGAGTTGGCAAAGTTTTCAGGTGGGTGAAATGGGTTGGGCTCTGAGACGCCATATTTGTTGGCTCATCAAAATCACGTCCTCTTCGAGGGACACCCATTCTCACGACATCTTCATTTCATATCTGTATGGCTTTCTGGAAATTTCTGACGCGGGATGAGATGTCTTGGCAAAATAGGTTTTGTGGTGGAGATATTTTGTGTCCTTTGAGATTCAAGATGGATTAACCATCTGTCACTCGATAGATTAACCATGTATGTAGTTTTCATTCCTTATTCAAAATCTCCCTGCTTCCTTTGTGGCGGGATTTCATTCATCATCCTGGCGGTGTATATATAATATTATATTTTAAAGTTCAATTCTTTTGCTGTTGGATGCAACTTCATCATCTTAGATTTAACTTTCTATCAGTAGGCAGACGAATTTCAGCGTAAATTATATTTGGTAATTTGTATGTTGTTCAAAGCTTGAGATTCAAATGATTTAGTAATCGTGCTCAGAAGTGTGCGTCCAAACTCCATTACAGCTCGCAGCCCCTCGTGCAGCAGATATTTAAATAAAGACGGAAAAAGTCTACTCTTCCGATTCAGATTTTGAAAAAGAACAGAATAAGAGGATGAAAAAAAGGATGGAGTAAAGCTCTTTTGTTTTCAGCCAAAAAGAGTAAAGATCGTTATCTATCTCAAACATACCTTCGAATTTGTGGTGTCCACGGGACCAGAAAAATAAATCAAGCATGTTTATAATATTGTTTTGTTTTTCAAAGCATGAATTTAATGAAATGTGTAACATTATATATATTCAGGCAAAAATATATACATATTAAAACAATAATAAAAAAACAATCTTGTACGGAATTGTATGAAATGTATAATAAGACAAGAAATTATCCATGGTCCTTGTAGGCTGCCAACGTATATAACCTGCGAATGTTGTCATTGTATATGGGTTCTATATTAATGTGATATTAATATTGATTTGATTTCCCATACAATTTGGAGTCTAGAAAATATATTTGATAATTACTTTTATTAATATTATCACGTTTCAGAAGAAAGACTAACAACTAGCTTTTATTGTCAAACAAAAAGTGTTAAGCCTCAATAATGTAATTACTCGACCTTGCAGCTTACACCATTTAATTAGATAAATAATACTAAATACAAGTTTTGGGCTGATGGTAACTTCATAACAAAGAGAGCTTTGTGCCCCGGTATGCACGAATAAGATTAAGAAAATACTTATCTTAATTGGGTTTTAATGATGCTGATAAGAATGTTCGTGATAGTTCGCAACCATCCGGAGAATATAGTATTTGGTAAAGAGGGTTGGGAGACAATGATTCTACGTATGATGACTGCCCCCAATTCCAAATGCTCCGCGTGGCTCCGAATGATTGGTGGAGCATCTTCTATGCTTTTCTTCCCTACCACAATCCATCAGAGGCGCTTCATTTCTTATTCAGTGGAAGTCGCGTTTTCGTTCACACACACACCCCAAAAAGAAAAAAAGAAAAAAAGAAACCGACCCCACAATATTTTGATCTACTCTCTCTCGATCCAAACATAGATCAATTTTATCTCTCTCATAAAGATCATTGAAAATTAGTTACCTCATTAAAATAAGTTTAAAATTCGGGGAAAAAAAATCTATTTCTTCCTAATTAACACCATCAGTGCAAAATTACAAATATCTCCTCTATATACTCATTAGAAAGTATTAAGTCTAGTCTTAAATATAAAATCACACGAAGAATATTGTCAATATAAAACTAGTCATTTTAACGTTGTATGATGGATTTTTCTGAAATAAGAGGCGTCCTTCGAGAACTAGAAAGCTTCTGTCACTCACCTTTTGTTTTATTCATTTGCGAATTCTTAAAATAATCGCCAATTTTTGCATACAGGCTGTGCAAATTACTATTAAATAAAAAGATGATTAAATAATTAATTCAGTTGGGGAATGAACTGGGGGGTTAATTGGTAACCCAGGAAAGGCGAGAGAGTTTGGTATCCAAACAATTGGGTCCATTCCCGTGCCTTGCGTTCAGTTTAGTTGGCACTGAACTTAGACACACGTGTTCATTTGTCACATAGGGGCCCAACTGGCGGCGTACGTGTCCAAACTCAAACGCATCATCTTTGAGAAAATTTTCTGGCGTCAAGATCACCTGACGTCGCCAAAGAGTGCCAAATTTAGGAAATGAAGAAATATGATTAATTGTTTAATCATCTCACTGGCTTAAACATTAAATATATAAAAAAAATTGAGAAACTTTTTAAACATACTCTTAACAAAAATCAATATTACATTAATTACAATAAATCAATGAGGTTCAATAGGGCAGGGAACATAAGGTTAGGTTTTTTGGGTTTGGTTTCGTGTGATATTAATATTAATAAGATTAGTAATTAGTATTCGTAATAATGGGAGTAATTAGTAATATGATGACATGTTTTAACCCAAAAGGAGGGAAAGCTGGGCGGGGTAGGTGTGGGATTGACCAAACCACAAGTGGTGTGAAAGCACGGGGGCCTCTGGGATGCCTGCTCCTCCTCTGCTCGCCTTGGCTTCTTCTCATATCCTCTCCCATTTTATATTTAAAGCCCTCAGCTTCTTCTCTTTCTCTCAGCTTGACGTTCCCTTGTTTCAAGAGAACACCAAGCTTGGCTCCGCTCGCTCCCTTCCTTTCTGCTTCCTCTCCACTTCCCTCCTCATATCTTCGACATGCGCTCTCTCTCCCCCGCCCCTTCCCATTCTCTTCAATTTCCGATCCCCACTCGCCCCCTTCCCTCCCCCGTTGTTGTCAAATGCAGCTACGGCTTCGAATCTCCCGGCTTCTCCCATGGAGTCTCCTCCAACCGCACCGACTGGCAGAGCTCCTGCGCCATTTTGGCCAGCAAGGTTGTCTCTCAGCAACATTCCTCCCCCGACAGTAATAACGGTGCCCCCACCGTCAACGGCCACACTTCCGCCCTCACGGATCTCAGCCTGGTTCCCATCGATAACATACCCGGTTCCGACAATAACAGGCCTCTTCCGCCCAAGCCTCTCACGATTTCGGACCTCTCGCCGGCTCCGATGCACGGCTCACAGCTTCGCGTCGCTTACCAGGGGGTTCCTGGAGCGTATTCTGAAGCCGCCGCCGCCAAGGCCTATGCCAACTGCGAAGCCATTCCTTGCGATCAATTCGAGGTGGCTTTCCAGGCCGTCGAGCTCTGGATCGCCGATCGAGCAGTTCTGCCCGTGGAGAACTCTCTAGGCGGTTCAATCCACAGGAATTACGACCTCCTCCTCCGCCATCGTCTCCACATCGTCGGCGAAGTCCAACTTCCGGTCCATCACTGCCTTCTTGCTCTCCCTGGAGTCCGGAAAGAGTACCTAACCCGCGTGATTTCGCATCCCCAAGCCCTGGCTCAGTGCGAGCACACATTAACCAAGCTCGGCCTCAACGTGGCACGTGAAGCCGTGGACGATACAGCCGGTGCCGCGGAGTTCATCGCCACCAACAACCTCCGCGACACGGCGGCAATCGCGAGCGCGCGTGCCGCGGAGCTGTACGGAATGCAAGTTTTGGCGGACGGGATCCAGGACGATCCGGGGAATGTGACCCGATTTGTTATGCTCGCCCGAGAACCGATTATTCCCCGTACGGACAGGCCGTTCAAGACGAGCATAGTGTTCGCGCACGACAAAGGGACGTCGGTATTGTTCAAGGTGTTGTCGGCGTTCGCATTCAGGAACATTAGCCTGACGAAGATCGAGTCCAGGCCTCACCGGAACCGTCCGATCAGGCTAGTGGATGACGCCAATGTGGGCACTGCGAAGCACTTCGAATACTTGTTCTACGTGGATTTTGAAGCTTCCATGGCCGAGGTGAGGGCCCAGAACGCCTTGGCAGAGGTGCAGGAGTTTACTTCTTTCTTGAGAGTACTGGGCAGCTATCCCATGGACATGACTCCGCTGAGTTCCTCCTGCGGCCGGCAAGATTTGCAAAGCCTCTGATACGATACCGTTTGGAGGAGAAGGAAGACAAACGAAGAAAAAGGGCAATAAAGATCAGTTTCTATTTCGCTGCACTGTATACGTATTTAGAATGATGGCGGTGTTCAGGCAAAAAAAAAAAAATTGGAATGATGGCGTTGTTATAGTTTTATAATTCTGTAATGATATGATGGTTAAATTCGAGGGAAGGAGTTAATTTGCGAAAGCAGAAGCATAGGAAGGCAACCCCCTGCGGTTGGTGGCAGGGGGATGTCCATTGTACAGAGACGATGTGATGTGATTCAAAAGTTTCTGGCGAGCGACGAACGTGGCAGCTACCTACCCCCAGTGCCATGGTGATTTAGTGTGTATACTTGGATTGAATGCCCCGTTAGTTGGTTGTGTGATCTGAGTTTTGAGCCGCCCATAGAGTAGGTGTTCATAACCTTGTGTCCGGCTGAGCGTAGGTTTTTGTTTTTTTATATGTTTCTATTGTATTGTTATCACTGTGGGATATATAGTGATAATCCTAACTCTCAATCGTGTTAAATTCAGGCCAGGCCAGAAAGGGCCAGGATAAAATAAAAACCCCTACTTCATCACCTGACTTGTATACACGTCTTGCGCGCGGTGTCCTCCTTTTTCTGTCTTTCAATATAATAATAACGTAATTCATTTTGGGTTGGACACAATAATTCGCCACTGAGCTCATGGGTCTTGTTACCGATGTCAGACGCTCACGCTCTCACGCACATGTTTGCCCGCGAATCATGTTGGTGTTCTGGGGTTAAGAGTGATTTTATTTTAGTGGAGGCGGCGGGTAAATGTAATAATGGAATAAGACGTGGATCTGGGAGTCGGGTTCGATTACGCGCTCACTATCCTCGTTGCCCCAACACTGCCATCCACTTCTCTTTGTCACCACTTGAAAGCGTCGCTCTGCCTACATGTGAGGCAGACACCCTTTTCTTATTTTTTCTGGTGAACAGGAAGACACTTTTTTTGAGTTCTTCATCGGTGAAAGCTACGCTAACAACAAAACAATATTTTACTACATGTCATATATATACATATATAATTGTGAAACGTCGCCATACAAGGAGTTTGCTGCGTGATTGTATTGGTTTGAAATTGGCCCGGCATACAAAATGAAGTAGAATATAATAATATTCTTAACAAGCATGCATTTCCCGTGAGCACATGGAGTACAAATAAATAGGACAGGGCTTCGACTGCCCGGATAATTTTGGAAGGGCAGACAATGTATTCATCAGCCGGCAGCATCTGCTTCTTTTTTTACCCTTTATTTTTTTGGAAAAAAACAGCCCCACATAATGTTACCGGCCAAGTAAATAAGCGCATCACAGTACTGGTAAAGTAGCAGTGGCGGGCGAGCATAATACAAGCGAGAGAAGAAGAAGAAGAAGAAGGCAATGGGATCATAATTGGTAGCTGCAGAATTGGGTGCATAATTTGGAGACGGAACTAATGCAGTTACAGCCGGTGGGGCCGTGACGACGTGGAGGCACCTCAACTTGCTCTCCCGAAAGCGATCTCTGTATTAATGGGCACGATAATGGAGCTGCAAAAAGGGGAAGGACAAGACTGTGACTGCCTTATTTCTCACCTTTCTTTCTTTTTAGTTTCAGGCTTCCTGCTAACTAAAAGAATTCTGTAATGAAGGATTTTTCAGTAACACCTCTAAGTTAAAGTTCATGACTCTTTTGTATTCCGAAAAAGGAAAACAAAATCGAAGTATATATAACCCTGAATTTGCTGGCAGTGATGGGGAGCGGAAGGAATGCATAACTTGGCTTCAAAATATAGGTAATGGACAAGGAACAAATGGTTACCGACCGCCCACAAGTCTGAGATTCAAGATTGATTATATTGCCAATGGTAATAAGGTCAACACTTAACAAACTCCATAAACATTGAATAATTGCCTTTCTTTTCCTTCCTCTTCGTCTCCCCGCTTTAATTTGCACCAACCTTTTCCGCCTTTTCATCCCAACCATCGCCTCCCCCCGCCTCCTTGTTCTCTCTCCGTTTTAATCTTATAATTTCTTATGCATAAGACTGTCTAACAAAATCGTTTTTCTATAGATTTTAAAATCATAAGAGAAGATCTTTTATTTCAACAGTATTGATCTGAAATACGGAATTATCATTCATGATCCTAAATTGGAAGCCTGGATAAAATATCTCAAATCCGTGTTTAAAAAAAAAATATTTTGGTGGTAGTGTGTCTCAAACCCAAAAAAAAATTAAAAATTAAACACTCTATATGACGCATTATCATGTGAATAAGAATATAGAAGGGGGACATTTGTGAAGTGATTTGGGTTTTAGAGTCACTGGAGTAGTCTCACTCCAACATCACATCAGCAGGGGTGACCTCCTTGATATTTATAATTAGATTTTTTTTTTTTTGATCTGAGATATTTCTAAGTAGATGAATCATCATGAAAGGATTATTTTTGGAAATATTACATGTAATCATGAAAAAAAAACCTTAATGACAAATAGGCAACATGAAAGTTATCATTAAATGCTGATCATGAATAAATTATAATAAACTATCAGAATATATTAGTGATAGGATATATATGGATGAATAAATATTTAAGGAAAAAAGAAACAAAGGAAAAGGGTAAGAAGAGAAAGAGGAATAGAGGGGAAGGGTGGGATGGGATGGGAGGGTTTGGTGAAGAAGGGAAGGAAAAGGGAGGCGATGGTGACCACAAATGCCAAATGGGGAACGATTGGCGTGCGCGTCGTGTCTTGCTGCTGTTGCGGTGGTAGGTATGCTTCTCATTTGTGGTGGTCCGTCCCGCCCCCTCCCTCCTCCCTTTTCATTTCCCTATTTTAATTATTATTCTTCCCTTCTACTTTCTCTTAACCAGCACACATCAGCTCTGAATTTAATATGTTATTAATATTTTAATTATAACCAACATGGTGTTTTTATCAAAACTGTGAAAAATTCTAAATAAGATGCTTATTTTGGATTCGCGGTTTTCCCATTCTGATTTCTAACCATGACGTATTACTTACGTATTCCCCCGAAAAAGATCTGCCGCCTCTCATCATGCTCCTGCGGACTACGAATTCTTCAGCGGACTTTCATGAAATGTCCTCAACATAAATATTATACCTCCAAATATATAAGAGAAAATCGCCAAAAAAAAAAACACAGTCAAAATAACAAAATTACAAATAGGGACCCGTTACTATATCAGTATGTGTTTTGATAATAATTTTTGTGAACAGGTCATTATGTGTAATTTTTTAATTTTGGCAGTCTTTTTTTTTCTTTCTATTTTCTCAATATAAAATCTTAATTCATTTTATCTTTTATATTTATTCACTTTTTCAAACTAATCTTTGTGGTAATTGTATATGTTAAATGTTTCATCACATTATAGTTTTAGTTAATATACATGATCACAAAGATATTCCAGGAAGGATAACACTTATTTATTATAAATAACTAACTTAACAAATTTTGTTAATTTATCCAAATTAGTAAAATTAATTCTTATGCGTGAGCTTCTAAGAGTACGTTTACTCTTAACACCTAATTATGTGAATTTTTTCAAAGAATTTTATATTCACCACACCTTTTCAAGTTCTTTTTTTTTTTAAATAAAAACCTATGCGAAATCTAATAATACCAACTAGTTTGGACTTAACTATTGTCCCGCCCCCAATCCTCCACCGTTTTCCTTCCGCAGTTCCACTAAAACAGAGTCGATAAAGAGAGCGTATATCTGGAGCCAGAGAGACAGAGAGAGAGAGAGAGAGAGAGAGAGAGATCATCTCTCTGTCTTTGTGAGACCCTCACAGAGAATTTAAGTTTGATTATCTGAATTTTTTAAATGAGGGGTGAAAGCAAAATATATTTCAAGCCACAGAAATATCTCTTGAAAACAACGGAGAGAAATCATGAGGCTTTGGGAGTTAGGTTGGGCCGGCTGCGGACAGTGTTTATTGGAAGAGTGTTAAGCCCATAATGGCTTGGGCTTCAAAGTCGAGAAATAAGAACCATGCAACGTCATGGCGTTGACTGTGGAGAGAGGAAGAGACGACCAAAATGGAAGTCATCCAACAAGGGCAGACGTGTCATTTAATTTAATTGCATAGACAAGACAGCAGAGGACCCATATTTCCAAATATTCGAGGGAGAGGTGGCGATGGCCTTCCCCATTTTCAGCAAAACTTGTGTCCGCTTGCTTGGGACATCAATAATGGAATCTCTAGCGCGTGCCTAATTCACATGATAGCATCAAACAAGTAAGACCCCCAAGGCCCAATGTGGGATGCGCATAACATCACCTCTTTCTTACCATCCATTTAAACGACCCAACATGAAGTTCGGTCCTCACTCCCTCATCAAAATAGCCTTGATTTACCAACGAGAGTTGGTCCAAGTAGTAAGCGGTTTGATACCGCTTAAATGAGGTCTCGAGTTTAAACTTCAGCGTATGTAGAAATTTCAGTTAGAAGACTCATCCACCATAGCCAGTTGTGCGACGCGAGTCGGATCCAGATGTAGTCGGAACAAAACTCCGGTAAACTGGGTGGGTAACAAAAAAAAAAGCCTTCATTTAACTGACCAACTCGTAGGTTCCCCCAAAAAAAAAAGAAAAAGAAAAAAGAGGCCTTCCCCGGTGACGCGGTTTAATATGCATTCTGCACCAGCAGGTGTTTTCTATTCATTCAAAGCATCCAAATTCACCTGTAGATTATGATTCCCCATTTCTCTCTTCGAAGTGTATGAATGAAAAGGTTTTGAGGGGGGGGGGGAAGCTAGAGCATTTAGCAAAGTTAAAAGATATTAAAAATAACTAAATACTCGTGAATTTCAGAAGCAGATGCGTTGTCCAGATTAGCAAAAAGTGGGCACGACATTGCATGATCGAGGCTACGTGAGTGAAGGCTCCAATCACCTCTGGACTCACCCTTATGCCTTCCTCTCGTCAGTGTCTCGATTCTTGCCATCAAACCCTCAATTCTCCCTCAGCTGACCACACTCGCCATGGTTATTCCAAGGCTCAAATGTGCTCCTTCAACATTCTTCGTCTCATTTCATCCCTCCCTCCCTCTCATAATCCAATACCGAAGTCCTCCCTGCTGCCGGCATTCCTTTTGATCTTAATCTGCGGTTCTGTTCCGATGATGCTGAATTTCAATGCAATTCACCTAACGGAAGCCACTCCGATGGGAACGGAGGAGATCAGACGGGCCAAGATGCTGGAAAGGCAAGTGTTCGAGTTGGAGTGAGTGACGATGGAGTTTATCACGAGGAAATGAGGATCGAGGCAGAGATCAGAGAGGAAGGGGAAGAGCGAGAAGAGAAGGAGGGAGGCGCGCAAAATGAAAACAATGGTTTTGGAATTGCTAATCGTAGTATCAGGAAAACTTGACGAAGGGAGGAGGGAAGTAAAGGAGAGTTGGATGGTTGTGAATACGGAAGAGGAGCCGGTGGTGAGGACCAAGAGACGGAGGAGCCAGGCGTTGCCGTACAGGTCCAGAGACTCCGTCATGGAACCGGTAAAACGCAGGGATGGTCCTCACAGACCGTTGTCGACCCCCACCGCGGCTTCTACGAAACGACTCAGGCACCTGAGCTGCAGCGTTAAACGCTGTTTCCTTATACAATCTTTCTGTGATTTATTCTTTTT